GGCACACTTTTTATTAATCCATATTTTACTCACGGTAATAAATTAATTAAACTACCCTCACCCTAAGATCTAAATGCCTCCCCCTATATATATAAAAAAAACTGAAGCTGCATGAAAAGAAACATGTTTTTACGTTCCGGTAATATGAATCATTTTGTACTACTGGTATTTAGAGAGATACGTGAATGAGCTTTGTCACCAGGGATGGGAGGTCTGAGTGGTCCGCGGGACAAACAAAGTTTGGGAAACACTGCCCTGGTGGTAGCTGTCCCAGTACGGCACAAATGTACCTAATAGCTGGCTTGTCGAGGTGTATATGTCTGCCAGTAGAGGGTCAGTGATTGCTATGAAATAGCATGTGCGTAATTAATCGAGTTTTTCTTTAGTTAAGGGAGTTGGGGGGGGGGGAACAAGTGAATCCAGAGGAAACCGATGCAGAACCAGTGGTAGAACATACAACATACAAACTCCATACAAACTCCATACAAACTCCATACAAACTCCATACAAACTCCATACAAGTACAAACTCCACGCAGAAAGGCACCCGAGTCAGGAATATATTCAAGTCCCTTCTTGCTGTGAGGCATGAGTGTTAACATTGCGGCCACCGCGCAACAATCTGAAATTGGATCAACATCACATCTACCGAGGACATTGAAGCAACGCTAGACACACGACCTTTTAAAATATTATTCCATTGTTTTGAGGTTCAAGTCGTAAAACTAATGTAACAAAATACTAAAAAAAAGAACGGAAAAAATGTCTTGCAAATTGCACCCATGGGTGGTAAGCTTGAAAATGTCACTTCATAGCATTTGCTGGAACACATTGTCCAGGCTACATGATGTAGCACGAGTGTCGGTCAAGATGGAAAACTCTGAAAACTTTCAAATTTACAAATAAATTTAATGAACAAGGGTGATGACGTTATTGTGTACACGGAGACACAGATTGAGTCGAATGTTGGTTTTGGTTTTCAGGACCATTGCCTAGGCTTTTATATCATTTTAAGCATAGCTCAAATAGAGCACACACTTCCTTTAATGAATCATGCCTTTCATAATTGCGTACAAATCAATAATAATAGCGATGCTAATTTACTGCCCTTTGTTAAACAGTTTGTTATCTTTCCTCCACACCTCTGATTAGCACGGTATGGCGTGAAAGAAGTTCAACATACATACATACATATAATCCCTGGCTGGATGACCCAAGCTTATGTAGGGTCAGTCACGGGGGTTATTTAACCATACCTCCCCACACTATTTAGTCCTGGTTGGCAAAGATGGGGCACAGGACTGGTTCAGATATCACTTGCCACTTATGTTAGTCGTGGTCAGGAATCAAACTCAGGTTATCTGTTCCACAGCACAGTGTGCTAACCACTACAACACTGATCCCAAATTATGTACCTGTTTTTCAACTATATATATTATAATAGTTTTTTTACCCTTCTATCTGGCAACAAAACTGACACCTTTTTTTACAAGGAGTCATGTTTGTATAGGCCACAATACCTGCAGTCATAATGCAAACAAAAAACATAACTCTGATAATGTATGCACTGTCCTTGAAGTTGATTGGTCCACACCCAAGACAGCTTTCCTTAGAGCCTAGTCTCACATAGGTTGGACCAGATGATGTCAAAAGGCGCACAACTCAAAGACAATGCAGACATTATCAGAGTTATGTTTTTTGTTTGCATTATGACTGCAGGTATTGTGGTCTATGCAAACATGTCAGTTTTGTTGCCAGATAGAAGGGTAAAAAAACAATTATCATATTTTTTACTGGCAAATGAGGTTCCAATGGTATATATATATATATTTTTTTTTTAACTATTAACTATTTATATTCCACAAGGTAAGGCCCACTGAGCTCTCTAGCACTTTTTCAGACGTGACCTGGCCACAAATGATAGCTCAACAGAGTGGCTTGTCACGTGGCAATGTATAGCAGCCAAATACTCTGAACGCGTGATGTTGATTCTAAATGTGGAGAGAGCAACCGGAGGACCTGGAGAAAAATCCACGCGACTCCAAATAAAGAGCACGCGTCAGGGTCGGGATCGAACCCACAAACTACTTTATACGAGGCAAGGTAGTTAACATCTTAGATTTAATGTATCATTATGGCGCTCATTTACCCAGTAAAGCCTTCCTGAGTCTCAAGACTCTCATTCAGGAGGGTCCTGCCAAGTGTTTTGCAGTAGGGACGATGTTGCTGTTGTGTAATCCCTATTGAGGAATTTACAGCTAAATGTTTGAGCTTTGGGATGTTTGCCAGTTCCAGTTAGATTGTACATTTGAGTTGCTTTATGAACTAAATCGAAAAAAGCAAATTGACATAAACAAATGATATACCATTATCTATCTTCCATGGATTCGAGTGATTACCCAAAGCGCCTCTGTAATACCAAGGCAATAACTGTACTCACTTTTCTTCCTAATTAACTAAATTAAAGCACTTCTCCCTTCAACACTCGCTGTTAACATCACCATGCAACGCACGAGTTAACTGCACTCGCAGTAGCTGAAACAGACATAAAATGCAAAGAGTTTTTGCACCGTTAATACCTGCAAACGTGAACCGGCACATTTGTTGGGAAGGAAAGGGGTGGGGGGCGGTGCGGTGTAAATCGACGACGCGAAATGGGTGTAAAAGGAGGCCACGTTTAATGCTTAAAGCCATCGCAAGAAGCGGGCAGTGCAAGCAAACACTTGCCCCGTGTGCACGGGCGCCGCTAATTGAGGTGGCAGGCGGCATGTGGGTGGGGGGGGAGGTCGGCAGGAGCTTGCACATTCATCACGCGGCTACGACGCCGCTAACAAACACTCAGCCTCAGCAACTAAAGTGGCTGCCACGACCCGGCTTTTTTTTGCCCGTTCGTTTTCCCCAACGTTCTCCGGCCAACCAGAAGTTTTCCCCCAAAAACTTCTGTGCGGCCTGACTTGTGGCCGTTTGTCACCAAGGCCGTTTCGCTGCTGATACGGGGGTGTAGCGTTAATGGGACGTATTGAGGTTACACCCGACTTGAAACACAGACAAAGATCCGCCGTATAGCCTGAAGAGACTGTAATGACAAGTGCTGCTAGCAAGCACTACTTTAAAGGCCGGCACGGCACACGAAGCTAGTGGGTGGCCAACACCACGCCCGGCCGCCTTTGTCTCCCTAGTGGCGATGCTTACACATCGCAGCACCAGGTACTCATTTGAGGCTGAGTCGACCTAGGGGAGGCCGGTTCAAATAATCGTCACTGGTGGTGACCATGAATCGACCCCGGGTCGCCGGGTTCGTAGCGCAGTGCAATAACCGCTACACTACACGCGTGCACGTTCGTGTAAGTGTACCTATCGTTTCAACGTTCCATAAGGGGCACAAGACCGGAAGACCGCTAACAGGCACATGTCAATTGGCCCGAAGCATCCCACAGCCGCCATTCGCCTTCCCTCGCTCTGTAAGATTGAGTGCAAAATTTCAGCCTTCACTGACTCTATGGACGCCCTGAGCATCTCAGAACGCCCACATCGCGTATTTATGGGATTTTGAGGCTTGTAGCCAGAGAGGGCAATCGTTTACAACAACAGAATAACTCTTTACTATTAGGAAATGCTATATCACTGGGAGTGCAGCCATCAATTGGCAGAAAAGTGGCTTGTAAACTAAATAATTAAGAGGGAAGTATGGCTTAAATTGCTATTTAACTGAAAGGTGGGCAGAGCTGAGTGGTTAATCAGTAATGAGCGGCGGGCTAGACACACAGCACACCCTCATGATTTAATAGAGTATGCCGCGGGATTCTGTTAATTGAATAGTCATGCTGACGTGAGAGAGCAAGGGCGGAACTGTGAGCAAGGAAGGAGGATGGATTGGTGGTGTCCAGTGAGCCTGACCTTTTGCACCATGGCTCATGCAACAGTACTAAATATGTCCTGCAGTAATGAGCTCCATGGCGCATGTTGTGAAATAATGCAAAGGTATGCAATGACAATATACACGGGGGAGGGGTTTTCATTTGAAAACCAATCATGAATTTACGGAGAATTAAACTTCATTCGAAAAAAGCCGTGCATTGTTGTTTGATGGAATTCCTCCCCCCCAGAGCTACCTTGGGAGATCCCTTCAAGCAACATCTGGTTCACACAAAGGGACACATTTTCCCACCATCTCTGCGGACGAGTGTAACGTGTCCACGCATGACTATAAAACTGATGTAAAATTTTGAAAGATTGATTTTTTTTCGAAATTATCATGACAAAATATGTATATGTTTATGCCATGGTTTTTGTTTTTGTGTATAGTTTTCGCTGAACAGACTAATTACCATTAACATACTTGAGAATGCGCTTTATTCATAATTGCTGGGGTTTAAGCAAAGGATCCGTGAGGTGAGAATCTTGAGTTCTTACATTTAAACTAAACTATAAATATTTTATTATTTTACCAGGTAAGGCCCACTCAACTTTATAGCTCTTTTTCAGAAGCGACCTGGCCACAAATGATAGCTCAACGAAGTTAGCTTATCATATATATATAACAGCCAACTAAATGCATGTTTCTAAATGTTGATGGAAAAACCGTACCACGGGGAGAACATGCAATCTCCAAATATACAGGCTTCAGGATCAAACCCATGATCTCCTGTATACCAGGCGAGGTAGTTAACATCTCGCCACAGTGGCACCCCAAATTTAAACCAGGCGAGGTAGTTAACATCTCGCCACAGTGGCGCCCCAAATTTAAACACTGCTGCCACGCACGCTCCGTATGGCACAAAAGCTAGCAACATAAGATGACAAAGTTAACAGTCTGTCAAAATAAAAGTGACATGGGAAGCGATGCGGGGTTGCTTTTGGAGGCGTTTTGACTTTTAACGGGGGGATACTCATCGATCCAAAGCACCCCAGCCCCCCACCAGTGACTGGCACGGGCCCAGGCGCTGTGCAAATGAGCGACGTGCACGGTGCTATGTGCCCCCCGGGACCCCTGGGTCTCACCTCTTCCAGGGAAAACGACGGGACCTCTGGTCGGGCCATCAGGACTTCCGGCAGCTCCCTCCTCCACGGGTCGCTGCAGGCGCCAGTCAAGCCCGTACACGTGCAGCACTGCCAAAACGACACCACCGGCACCAATATTTGCACGGGGGGGGGGGGGGACACACACACGGGAAGCACCAAGAGCGTCAGTGAAGAAAGCGATTCAAGGTCCAATAACAATTTCCAGTACAGGAACCGCAATCAGGATTCAATTTTATTTTTTCATGTCTTAAAGCGGGGCTTAAATTCTGCCGGAGAAGACCGGGACTGAAAATATCCTCGCATACATCGCATGCATAAATGACATTTCATATGTAACACGACAGTGCACTTTAAAATGTAACGAGCAATCCGCACATCATTTGGACATGACAGTCCATCCATTCTTTCCAGCCAGCCAGAAAACACTTTTTTTTATATCGCGATCCTTGTCTCTCTCTCCCCACCATTCTCTCTCCAGCTCTGTACTGTGTATCCCAATGTCTTACTCTGCCTCTGTTTTTTGTTTCTTCATTTCTTTTTTACGATCAGTGGAAACAAGAAGATGCTCATTGTAGTCGGCACTTTGCTTCGTTCATCATTTCGTAATTTTTTTCTTTCTTTATGTAAACCCCCACCTCTCGCTCACTCTCTCGCTCACTCTCTCGCTCTCTCTTCCTCTGTCCCCTATACTTCTCCCTCCCTCTGTAGCCCTCTCCCCGCTCCATTCTATCTTACCCGCTTCCACCCCCCCCCATCTCTATTCCTGTCTCTCACCCCCCCGCACCCTTGCTCTCCTTATTCCCACCTCTCAATCTCTCCTGCCTCTCCACAATCCTCCCTCCCACCGTTTCGTCGCTTTCGCTCGCTCTCCTCTTTCAGTTTTTCTGTCTCTTTTTCCTCTCCGTTTCATGCCCTTTCACCCTCTCCCCCACCCCTCTACCCCCCACATTCCTCTTAATTTTTTCCCCTCCCTCCTCTATATCCGTCCTCTATCTCCCTCCCTCATCGCCCCCCTCTATCTCTGTTGTCTATCGCATTTGCGTCCTTTGGACGTAACCGTCCTCTCCCCTCCCTTTAGCCAGCGAGCAAAACTTGTTTTTCTTACGCAGTATATTATATGATGGCATCCCGCGCATTTTGTGTGGGATACATGGCCGGGGTAGAGGGTGGGTGGGTGGAGTGACGCTACATTAGCGGGACGCACGGACACGGCACAATGCTTCGATGTGCACGGTGACTTGACCGCACACTTGCCAGCGCACCAGCCAGGAATCCAGGCAGGAATCCAGCGAGCAAACTTCCTTCTAATACAGCACGATACGATAAAGGCAGCATGAATTGCGCCGTGAAATGACATCGTGCACAACGTGGAATGGAAAAGTGTATTTCTCTGCATCGAAAGGGAGATCTGTTTTTTTTTATTCATTGCTATATCACAGGATTTGTTATATGCTGGGTTCCTGTTGTGGATGTCATATTCATGGCATTTTCTTTAATATGTATGAGCTGCTGTGTAATGGCAGGTGAACTGTGTCAGACCTATTTGTTAGCAATGCAGTTATTAGAATTTCATGCATGAATTGCAATTTCTGCCGAACGTATCAAATACATCTGAGCACATTAAGCTGATGGTCATATTTCCTCGTATTATATTTAAAAAAACTATATATTTTTTTACGAAACAAAGTAATGTTCATAACTACTACAAATTTGAGATCAAATCTTCCTCGCAGACTTTTATTTTATTATTCTAAAAAAGCATTTCCTTATGGGTTTCAGAACACTTTGACAGCTTTATTTTTTGCACTCAATTAATACTTAATGAGGACCGTCTTCGACATACACTTTGAAATCCTGAGTAACTAAATACATGGCACCTAGGATATTATTGCCATTACCACCAGGAGCCCATTAGGGGCTCATTAGTGGGAAATGAATACGTTTTAGAGGAATAATTTAATCGACATCCACACCTACACCTGTACATTCATTGCACGTCCAAAACCACTGAGGCATCAAACAGACTTCTCAACTTTAAAAACATGTGATCAAAAAAAAAACACTTCTTTAATTGCACGGGAATATATATTATTAAAAAAATATCAATTGCATGTAACAGTGTAATTAATACATTGCCTATACTTCATATATTACAACGTAACATAAATTAGTTCCATCCCATTATAGGAATGTGAAATATTCACAACCAGAGGTTGGTCAGTTTAACACGTAGGCTTTTGCGACCAATATTATCCACAGTAGAGGTTTTTGGGTTAGATCGCGTGAATATAAATGTGCCGTTAAACCCGCCACCACCCGACACAGCCAACTAGTAAGGGTTGTCACGTAAACAGAACGTGCCAATTCGTCACTAGTACAGCACACCGATGCGTTGGAGAGCAACCCCACAACATTTACAATTAGAGTACGACGTTTCGTCAGGAATAACAACCAGCATCATCAGGCGACGGCCAGATCAGTGGAGAAATCCTCCTGTTTCGGTCTTAAATTGAGGGATAAATGTGATGTCGTCACTTAGTGAGCCAATTAGGGATGTGAAATATCCCCAACTAGAAGCTGGTCAGCTAGAAGAAGACAATTCCACCAGATGGTTGGATACTGTAAGAGTGGTCCTTCAAGGTCAGGTGAAAACCGCAGGATGTTGCTGAAGGGATGAGGTGATGGCGAGATGTGGTGGCATGCTGGCATTGGCCAAGGTTGTCACTTGATCATGTTCAGGGATACCAGAGCACGACCTCGTGCTGGTTTTAGCAGGCGGAACTGGGTTTTCGATCAGGTTAATGGTGATGTTATATCCTGAAGCAGAAGAGTAGTGCTGGGACAACATCACATTTGCAAATGTGATTTGTAACCTTGATCCTTGCCTGTGTATCGACAGCTCGATGTTAATGCGCCATTTTATCGAGGGATCATGTGTTATCTTTGTGTCGTCGGGGATTGTTTTGTTGGCGATCTTGCTGTCTTGCCCAAGCATGATACATCGAATATATGTAAATAATTTTTTAATGTATATATTTTCCCATGTTTAGTGACCTGCTTACTTTAAATATTTTGCACCCCTATCAGTTTATTGATTTATTAGTTTCTGTTGTAACTTGCTTACCTGCCCATACTGGACATCTGTATGGGCTCTGTCCTGTGATGACCAGCTCTCTCCTGTGATGACCAGCTCTCTCTTGCAGGGACCAGCTCTCTCCTGTGGGGACCAGCTCTCTCCTGTAGGGACCAGCTCTCTCCTGTGAGGACCAGCTCTCTCCTGTGATGACCAGCTCTCTCTTGCAGGGACCAGCTCTCTCCTGTGGGGACCAGCTCTCTCCTGTGAGGACCAGCTCTCTCCTGTAGGGACCAGCTCTCTCCTGTAGGGACCAGCTCTCTCCTGTAGGGACCAGCTCTCTCCTGTGAGGACCAGCTCACTCCTGTATGGACCAGCTCTCTCCTGTGAAAACCAGCTCTCTCCTGTAGGGACCAGTTCTCTCCTGTGAGGACCAGCTCTCTCCTGTGAGGACCAGCTCTCTCCTGTAGGGACCAGCTCTCTCCTGTGAGGACCAGCTCTCTCCTGTAGGGACCAGCTCTCTCCTGTGAGGACCAGCTCTCTCCTGTAGGGACCAGCTCTCTCCTGTAGGGACCAGCTCTCTCTTTTAGGGACCAGCTCTCTCCTGCAGGGACCAGCTCACTCCTGTAGGGACCAGCTCTCTCTTGTGAGGACCAGCTCTCTCCTGTAGGGATCAGCTCTCTCCTGTAGGGACCAGCTCTCTCCTGTAGGGACCAGCTCTCTCCTGTGAGGACCAGCTCTCTCCTGTAGGGACCAGCTCTCTCCTGTGAGGACCAGCTCTCTCCTGTAGGGACCAGCTCTCTCTTGAGAGGACCAGCTCTCTCCTGTAGGGATCAGCTCTCTCCTGTAGGGACCAGCTCTCTCCTGTAGGGACCAGCTCTCTCTTGAGAGGACCAGCTCTCTCCTGTAGGGATCAGCTCTCTCCTGTAGGGACCAGCTCTCTCCTGCAGGGACCAGCTCTCTCCTGTAGGGACCAGCTCTCTCCTGTGAGGACCAGCTCTCTCCTGTGAGGACCAGCTCTCTCCTGTAGGGACCAGCTCTCTCCTGTAGGGACCAGCTCTCTCCTGCAGGGACCAGCTCTCTCCTGTGAGGACCAGCTCTCTCCTGTGGGGACCAGCTCTCTCCTGTAGGGACCAGCTCTCTCCTGTGGGGACCAGCTCTCTCTTGTGAGGACCAGCTCACTCCTGTAGGGACCAGCTCTCTCCTGTAGGGACCAGCTCTCTCCTGTAGGGACCAGCTCTCTCTCTTGTAGGGACCAGCTCTCTCTTGTAGGGACCAGCTCTCTCCTGTAGGGACCAGCTCTCTCCTGTGAGGACCAGCTCTCTCCTGTGAGGACCAGCTCTCTCCTGTGAGGACCAGCTCCCACCTCCAGCAGCGAGGGTGCATATCAAGTGATCTGGTGGCGCGATCACTGCGATTTCACGGAAGCGGCAGTGCGCACATCGCTTTACATGCGCTCACAAAAAAATGATTCGAGGACGTTCTTGTGTTGCTCATTTTGAAGCTAATTAACTGACTCGTTTTTTTTTCCCACGACCAGTCAAGCGAAACCGAAGCACTTGCAGTGCTTGCTGCTGGAAATTACTTTCAAAACAATGTAGGCTCTTGTAATTTATAAGAAAAATGTATTTTAAAAATGTTAACCACATATTTGTGAATTTTACGATTTAAACAGACGAGGCTTAAAATACACCATATTTTGCCAACGATGGCATAAATGTTCGTATTCAATTACACCTATGCTTAGTAGTGTAGTTTAATGTTTTATATGCTAATCTCGCTTTATTTTATTCTTCAGCAGGTTATTTTGACACTGCTTCTTCTTCTTCTTCTTTCATATGGCGGATGCAGATGCAGAGCAACACGCACAGCTTCACGTTCAGGTGGTCAAGCCAGATAACTGCATCAGGAGCAGCGGAGTGTTTCGCTGTGATATAATTCTACTTTACTCAGTCATATTTTAGAGCCGTTTATCAAGCCACTGCTGGATGAAGACCCTGCCCCCATGCTGTGT